ACTGTTTTCCTGAACAATAAGTGTGACGGATTATGTGACACCTGTGGGCTAATGCACCAGACTTGCAAAGCTGTTTGAACTGCAAGGTCGGCAGTTCACTCTCATCAGCTGCTCCTTGGAAACCCTATACAGAATTTCTATGGGTCGGAACTGACTCTATGGCACTTAACAACAATGACAAAATATGTGTTGAAGTCCTAACCTCTGTAATGTGACCCCATTTGGAAACAAGAGCTTTCTTTTATTGTGCTAATGAGGTCAGGCCATAGCAGTATGGATCCTAAACCTTATCCCTTCTGAGTTATAAAAGGAGCAGAATTGGCACAGAGACACATGCAGGGGAAGAGGAAGACAAGGGCAGATCCATCTATAAATGCAGGAACTGCAAGGGTTGCTGGCAGCTAATAGAAGCTGAAATAACTGAGGATTGTGATTGTGTGCCACCAGGTCTGTTTAAACTGGTAAACACCCTGTATAGGGTATCTGAGGCTGTAAATCTTTACAGGAGCAGAAAGGCTCATCTTTCTCCCATGGCATGGCTGATAGACTCAAACTACTGGCCTTTCAGTTAGTCAGTCCAGCTCGTAATCCACTATGCTACCAGAAGCTGAAATAGACAAGGAAAACTCTCACCCTGGAACCATGGCTGAAGTCCTAGTGCAGCAGTGATTAAGTGCTCATCTTCTAACTGAAAGGTTGCCGGTTTGAACCCACCAATCGCTCCACTGGAGAAAGATGAGACAATCTGTATCCTTAAAGAATGTTGTTGTTGTTAAGTGCAGTCATGTTGGTTCTGACTCATAGCAACCCTGTACAAGGTTTCCGAGGATCAGCTGTTTAAATGACTTTGCAGTTCAATCAGGACAGTTCTCTGTCCTGCAGGATCACTCTGAGTCAGAACGAACTCAGTGGCAACGGGTTTGGGTGTTGATTGGAGCCATGCTCTCAACTCAAGCTTTTCATCTTCTCAGCTACAAGAAAACAAGTTCCTGGTTATTAAAGAAATAAATCTTGTATTTATTTTGCAAAACACAAAGTAACTATAAATAAGTCACTATTCTCTAGCGAATCTGGTCAGTTGTGCAAACCAGTTCATGAGACTAAGATACTCCACTTCTGAAGCCAAATTGTAGGATGGATAACAAATCCCACTCTACATGCCAGTTGCATCCAATGGAAATCTCAGTTTCCCTTCTTTGTTCAATTCAGAATCCAATTACCCAGCAGTCCTTCTCACTCTCATCCCTAGACATCCACGGCAAGGTCAGCAGGTACCAACATAAGCTTGAGAGTCCTTCCACATGGCCACCTCCACTTCTGACCAACCAGCTTCCACTACCCCTTTGGGTCCTACAATCCACTGAATGACTCAGAGAGCTCACAGGAAACACCATAATCATAGCAACAGCTTCAATATAACAAAAAAAGGATATAAACAAAAAGATGCATTAGACAAAATCTGATAGGGGCTCCATCACTGAGCTTCCATGTCCCAAAAGGAGATGCTACGCTCCCAAGAAGAAATGTTCACTCTTACCAACCAGGAAGCTCCATCTGACCATCAGCCTTCAGGAATTCAGTCAGCCATCAATTACATCATCAGTATGGGACCCAGCTGGTCCTTTCTGGTCTATCAGCCCCCATTCATTAGCCTGAAGTATAGTCTGGCTCTTGGGGACCCAGAACAAAAGGCCAAATGGCTTGTGTGCGGTAATTAATATACCAAGGATGAGGGAGCTCACTCTCACTGGCTTCTGATATCACACGGTCCAGATAAAATTCAACATGAACAGGATGTGGACTGTTCGGTTCACTGCTGTGTTCCCAGCACCTAGGATGGTGTCCACCTCACAGTGGGTGAGTGACCGTTGGGATTGGAAGGGGAGGCAGGTAGGCAGGTGAGGTGCAGTCATCACCATTCCCTGAAGCTGCTTCTTTGGCTCATCTCTCCAGGCCTATCCAAGGCTTCCATAGGCAGATGGTGTGAGAGGGTCTGTAGGGACGTGAGAGGTGCCAGCCAACCAGACTGCCCTCGCCCTTCTCCACTTCTTGTTGTTGAGTGCCTTCGAGTGGGTTCCTATCCATAGCGATTCTGTATAGGGTTTCCAAGGAGCGGCCTGTGAGTTTCAACTGCCAACCTTGAGTTTCAAACTGACCCTTGCAATCCAGTGCATTATCCCACAGCACCACACCAGGACTACAATGATCCTTCCTCAGTTTCACCTATGGAAACCTTGTAACGAATTTTACTTCTTCTAATATAGATCCCAAATGTCTCAGCCTTCAGTCCCACCACCCAACTGCCCCCTACCCCCACCCCCAGCCATCAAGGTAGACTCTTCAACTTTAGCTAGGGGCTGGAATGTATCAATGACAGACTTGGTCCCTGGGTGCCTCTAGGACCTGTATTACCCTGCATAGAGGGGGACACTGAGAGCCAGAACCCCTGAAACTTACCTTGTAGCTTGTGTTAGTTTCTAATGCTGTTGTAACAGAAATATCACAAATGGGTGATCTTAATGAACAGAAATTTATTTTCTTATAGTTTGTTATTGTTAAGTGTCATCCAGTTGGTTTCTACTCATAGTGAACCCAGCATAGGATTTCCAAGGAGTGGCTGGTGGGCTTGAACCTCTTACAGTTAGTAGTCCAGTATAGAAATCATTATTATTTCATGCAAGTAAAATTGGTTTCAACAGTACATCGAAAGGCAACTGCCAGAAATTCAAGTCAGATTCAGAATAGGAGTTAGAACAAGGGATATCATTGTGGACATCAGATGGATCTTGGCTAAAAGCAGAGAATACCAGAAGATGTTTACTTGTGCTTTATTGAATATGCAAAGGCTTTCAACTGTGTGGATCATGACAAGCAATGAATGGATAACATTGAGAAGAATGGGTATTCCAGAACACTTAATTGTGCTCATGAAGAACCTGTATATATCCTATAGCATCACACTAGGACGCTAAGCCATGTTGTTGTTGTTGTTGTTGTTAAGTGCCATTGACTCAGTTCCAACTCAGAGTGACCCTTTATAGGGTTTCCAAGGAGTGGCTGGTGAGCTTGAACTGCTGACCTTGTGGTTAGGAAGTCCAGGTTCAGAGTGACAACTCTTAAGGGCCTGTCTCTTTTCAGCTTTCATTCCGTGGTTCCCTGGTGATGTTCATGTGGTGTGTTTATTCCCTTCTGTGACTAATGTGCTCTTCTTATGTCTCAAAAGGAATTGGCTCTAAAACACAGCCTTGGTGGTATAGTGGGTTATGCATTGGGCTGCTAAGCATAAGGTCAGCAGTTCAAATCTACCAGCCATTCTGCAGGCGAAAGATGAGGTTTTCTGCTCCTGTACAGATTTACAGCCTTGGAAACCCTAGACAGGGTGACTATGAGTCAGAACCGACTCCATGGCACACAGTCACCAGCCACACTAATAGGGCCTCATGAACATAACTGAGAAAAATTCTTTTCCAGAATGGGATTCTATCTATAAGTATTGTAGTTGCTAGTCAGTGCTGTCCAGTCGGTTCTGACTCATAGCGACCCTGTGTAGGGTTTCTTTCCATGGAGCAACTGGTGAGCTGGAACCACTGACCATGTGGTTCAAATTGACCTTGCAGTACAGTGCATTAACCCCCAGCACCACACTAGGACTCCATCTGTAAGTATGTTGTTGTGAAGTGCCGTCGAGTCGGTTCCGACCCATAGCGACCCTGTACAGGGTTTCCAAGGGTGTAAATCTTTACGGGAGTAGAAAGCCTCATCTTTCTCCCGCAGAGCGGCTGGTAGTTTCGAACTGCTGACCTTAGGGTTCGCAGCCAGATTCGTAACCACTACGCTACCAGAGCTCCTTTCTGTAAGTATAGGGGTTAGGATTTGCAGCATCTATTTTTGGAGAGGGGGTAGTGCAATGGGTTAAGCACTGGGCTGCTAACTGAAAGATCAGCGGTTTGAACTCAACCACAGGAGCAAGTGGCAGTCTGCTTCCGGCACGATCACAGCCTCAGAAACCCTATGGCGAAGTCCTACTTTGTACTATGAGTAGAAATTCGCTTGAAAGTTATTGGTTTTTTAAGGGAATAATTTTGGGGAGACAGAAGTCAATCAATAATGTTGTTGTTGTTAAGTGCCGTTGAGTCGGTTCCAACCCATAGAGACCCTGTATAGGGTTTCCAAGGAGCGGATGGAGAGCTTGAACTGCCAACCTTGTGGTTCAAACTGACTTTGCAGTCCAGCGCATGAACCCACAAGGCCACACCAGGACTCAATCCATAATACAACCCCCCAATTTAAAAGTCAAGTTTCTGGAAAACTCAAAATTCAGCCATGTTGATCCTGTCTTCCTCTGCAGCTTCCTGCTTCACAGTGTCAGAATCCTGAGACCTCTCTCCCAGGGGGCTGAAGCTGCTTCTCCCACCACTCCCCTCATCAATCCACAGTGGGACTTCTGAGTTCGAAAGGTGAGAGGTCACCTGCCTTTTGCCTCTTCTGAGGAGTCCTGGGGCCCATCGTACACTCCTTTGGACTCTCACTTTAGACACCAGTTGTCCGCTAGTACTGGGCCTATGGCAGGAGGGGGCAGTGGCTAACCCTGCCTTCATCTCTTGGGATTCTTGTCTTCCAGGCAGGTCCCAGCATGCTCTGGGGCCAGTCCACCTGACATGGGACAACAGACATCTTATCTTCCTTTACTAGAAGTGAAGTAGTGAGTGGGTGTCCCCAGTGGGACCCACTTGGGGAAGTCACCATTCCTTGGTGCATCCTAAGGTGCCTGAAGGAGACGGGAGTAGGGGATAAGGATGGAACTTAGGGAGATGTAAGCAAATACAACTTCTCAGAAAAAGCAGAATTTATTCAGTGTTGTTGGGGAAAGGGAGATATCTACACAGCGATTTGAAAAACTCATCAATCTTCTCCACCAGAGAGGTATAAGGCAGCCGCAGGTCATTCTGGGGTCACTATATTGGACAGAGTTATGGAGGTGAGCAGGGTAGAGGCCCTGCTCAGGCCTTCTCACCCTTCCGCTGGGGCACACGGGTCTCCAGGGGCGCCCGGTGGAACCACTCAAACCAGGAGCCATCGTAGACGGCTACGTCGGGCTTGCCACAGAGGTAGGCAGCCAGGGCAATGTGGCAGGCAGTGACGCCTTTTCGGCAGGTGGCTATGAGAGGCAGTGAAAGGTCCACCTGCTTGGCCTTGAACATGGCACGGAGCTCTTCAGGGGTCTTCTCAAAGCCTTCTTCCGTCAGGAAGTCCATGAATGGCATGTTGAGACAGCCACGGATGTGGCCTGAGTCCAGTCCTGGGGGGAGCGGGGCAAAGGGCACAGGAAAGGACAGGGTTAGGAGCAGCATGGTGGGAGGGGCTGAGTGGTACCTGGAGGTTTTCACCAGCATGGCTTTCAGGTTAGAGAGCTTTGCAAATAAAAATAATTTCTCTGACATGTTCAACATATTCCTAGCCCTACCTGCCATGAAGGAGCTCTGGTAGCGTAGTGGTATGAATTGGGCTGCTAACCTCAAGGTCAGCAGTTCGAAAATACTAGCTGTTCTGAGGGAGAAAGATTAACTTTCTGTTCCTGTAAAGATTTACAGCCTCGAAAACTCAATTCAGGGGCCACTATGAGTTGGAACAAACTCCTTAGCACACACACACACAGTTTCATTACCTATCATGATCTGAGACATCCGCCTCCCCAAAATCAGTCTGAATGCCCAAAGTCACACCTGCTGCAAGAGGCAGGGAAACGAGTTTTAGAGTTGTCATTTATTAGCTGTTTACCTTGGGCTAACAGTTTCATTTCTTTGAACCTCAGTTTTCTCAGCTGTATAATGGGCTCAGCAGTAGGTGCCTATCTCAGAGTTGTTGAGAAGAGCAAATGAGAAGATTAATGAGAATGCTGTGTGTTATGGCAGATACTGAGAACATTGGGGAGAGACAGACACATCCCAGGCTTTGGAGGTGCTGAGTCTCACAAGGAAGACAGACTTTGAACAGATAACCCCAGAATTCATTAAAAGAAATATTGCTCCATTATACAGGTGGAAACTCTGAGGCTTGGTGAAATGAAATGGCTCATGAAGCGCTACCAGGTCCCCAGGTTTTCAAGTTCAGCACATGACTGTAGAAAGAGCACATGACCTGTCCTTAGGAGTAAGTTCAAATCCCAGCTCTGCCACTTAGCAGGTAGATGGCCTTAAACAAGTTGTATCACCTTTTTGAGCCTCAGTCCCCCTGTCGGGAGGGGTCCCGGTGGCATGATGGCTAAGTGTTCTTCTGCCTCTAACTGAAAGACTGGCAGTTCACACTCAGCAGTCATTGTGCATGAGAAAGATGGGGCAGTCTGCTTCTGTATGGATCGGTCACAGCCTTGAAAACCCAATAAGGCAGCTCTACTGTGCCCTCTATACGCGTCCTGGTGTGGTGCTGTGGGTTAATGTGCTGGACTGCGATGTTGTTTGAAACTGCAAGATCGGCAGTTCAAGTTCAAGAGCTGCTCCTCAGAAACCCTATACAGGGTTGCTTTGGGTCGGAACTGACTCGATGACACTTAGCAACAACAACTGTGTCCTATAGGGTCGCTATGAGTTGGGATTGACCTGAAGTCAGTGGGCTTGGTTAATGGGGTTTCCCCCACAGTTATAATGGAATTAAGAGTACCCAGTTGTGTAAGAGCTGTTTGCTGTCATTGTTAAATGTCACTGAGTCAGTTACGACTCAGAGCGACCCTGTATAGAGTTTCTGAGGCTGTAGGTCTTTGCCGGAGCAGAAAGCCGCGAAGTGCAATACATGGAAAATCGCGTCTGCTGTAGAAAGCACGTAAAGAAACAAAACACCAGTTGCTGTGAGCCGATTCTGACTCTAGGTGACCCCGTGTGCGTCCGAGTAGAACTATACTCTTAAGGTTTTCAAAACTGTGACTGACTCATGGGAAAGAGATTGCCAAGTATCTCATCCCAGACACCTCCAAGTGAGTTTGAACTGCCAACCTTCCGGTTAATTGTCAAGAGCTTAGCCATCTGTGCCACCCAAGGGTTCCATGGAAGGCGTATAGATGCTCAATAAGCATTAGGAGTCCCTGGGTGTGAGTGCAGCAAACCTTTAATGTTCTCAGCTCGTAACCAAAAGGTTGAAGGTTCTACCCAGAGGCACCCCAGAAAAAAATGTCTGGTGATCGATATTCCAAAACTCAGCCACTGAAAACCCTGTGGAGCACAGCTCTACTCTAACACCAATGGGGGTACCACGAGTGGAGTCTACTTATGAAAACTGAGCCACTGAAAACCCTGGGGAGCACAGCTCTACTCTAACACCAATGGGGGTACCATGAGTGGAGTCTACT